AAGAGAGTAATTGGCTATCGAGTCAGGTTAACAACTTCTGTTTTCAGGACAAAGAGTAGCTATATGAACGATGGGAGTTGAAATAAAACTGCGTAAGGTTAACAAGTTCGTTTTAATAAAATATGATATTTAATAAAATATAACGTTAATAATTTAATAAAATATAATGTTTGCTGCGGTTTACGAGTTATACTTAAGTATCTAGATTACGAAAATCTAGAAAAGATGTCGCTCCAGTTACGCGTGGACCATGTGATGCGGCGTTTTTCTACAGTTTACGTGTTCGTGTTATGTGAAAGTGTTGCGCGTGCGTCATTCGACGAGTTCTAATTGCTATTCCGTACCGTTCGGCAAATTCCCTTCCGTTACTTCTTACGTCTTATGTAAAACTGGTAAAAGTTGAGATTTCGTCAAAGTCGAAACCATGATCCGTTCTCTCTGTTGATCTGTGCGATCATTGACCAGTTATTCGCAAAGAAAAAAATAGTACCGTTAGAGACCGTGAACGGTTCCGAGGGATTTGCTATCGCCTCTCTTGGTTTGTCCAGCGCTACGTGGATAAACGATACGAATGACTAAAATACTCGATAGAAATGCACCTCTCGTGCTACACACGTAACTTGGGTTATTCAAGTCTTATTTGGGTTGCTCGTATCGTATGTAAAAAAATCGAAAGTACACATCGAGCTACTCTCATCGAGATTAAACCCTTGTCTTATGATCTTTCTTAGCAGCTAAAGTAATCGTTAATATCCCGCTATTTTTGTACTTTATTAAGTCCAAAATACGAGATATCATATGAAATTGTTATTTGATAATGTTTAATTAAGGGATCGAAAAATCTTTCTCTAGCTAAGATAGTAGTTCGAATTAAAAATGACATTTACGAATATAACCTACTTTCGCTGAATCAAAGCCATAATGCGTGTCACGAATGCCAGGCAATATTATAAGAGGCTTTCGCATCTTTTAAAAATATTTTTCTAGGTTATCCAAAAAATTCAGCTGACCACGTGATCATGTGGCAGGTGATTTTCACACTTTTGAGATATACTGTATATGTACTAGCTGAAAAATATAATAATAATAATAAATAAAAAGGTCAATTCGAATAGACACCTGGTTTGTATTTTCAAATTAAATCAAATGGTAGTTGCTGATTTGATTTCCATTAATATCGAAGATAGATATCTATATATATAATGTATTATTGTACCAGATATACAACTTGTACATATATACGACAGACACGTGCAACATATAACTTGGCTCATAGAGAAGTGTATCATACAGTTTGATATAAGCGATGGTTTTATTTGGAGCAGAAAGAACGTATTTTTAAAAGAACGTATGCTTTCATTTACTAGCCTCGAATGAAAGTAGGTCAACTATAAAGGGTTTTGTGAAATATTATGTAAATTTCTACATTTCAAACTGTCAGATATATACATACAACTAACGAGATTGCACATATGGTGAATTGAGAATTTAATACCCGTACAGCTTTTCCATTGCTTCCTCGTTACACTTCCCCGACTTCACTCGTCACCTCTTTGATTTCATAAGACCGAGCACGCGTCTACATCGTAACACGCATGAAATCGGTGATACATTGCAACCACTGGCTTTTTTACATGTTAAAGAGGAAGTACTATATACAATACAGGAAGTGCATATATACATTTTGTCAGAAACTTCGAGAATCGAAATATAATACATGGTTACTCTTGCAACTGGATGCTTTCATAGAATCGAACGGATGACATGAGTTTCTCGCGCGATTTCTGCAGCACAGTATTACATTGTGTGATGCACCTATTTTAAAATGTTGGCAAAGTTACCTTGGCGATATCGTGTCTCCGCGCCTGATTTATATCTTGACAAATACTTTAACGTACGTCGAATAAGTATAATTGTGTGTGTATTTCAGGTCCTTGCCAATTCTTGATAACACATATACGATAAAACGATGTTGTTACTTTTGAACATGTCTGTTCACAACGTGAATCAAATCAGGTGTCTTCGCACGTAAGTGAGAAAATTGATATTGATGCAAAGTTGCTGTATATTTTTCACACTTGTCACACATTCAGTGATACGAAAATAACCTTGCATTCCAATGCAAGTTGCGAAAATGCGTCTGCGGACCGTGTTCGGATATTCCTCCGTGTATTTCTAGGTTACATGAGGGGAACGGATGGACCGTCGCGAGATGAGACAAAGGGAATCAAAACGAGATATGCACCGTGGCAGTTCACGGAGAAGGAAGGACGAGGTTTGAATGCACGGATGAGGACGCCCGAACGGTTTGAACGTCTTTCTCGCACTGAGAGACGAGTCCAGTTGAGCAATAACGCACAGCCACCGGCAGTCGAGCGTTCACGTACCAACACACATTCTCTAGGCCGACGCACCTTACAGGGGTATGCGCGCGCGTCTGCCACTTGCCGGTAAATACATACGCTCCCCACTGGTCAACTTATGGGCGACGAAGCAGTTGGCAACATTGCTAAAAAATCTCGACCCCTTGATCCTTCGTGCCAGATTCCAATGATCGTGTTTTTCTTTACCGCTTCCGCAGGTAAGAAACTTGTATATCAACTTTAAACGATCGATTACTTGATTATTCATTTGCATAGGACTTTCGGATCGACGGTGATCCTGTCTGTAAGTGAACAATACTGGAGATTATTCGAACGGCAGATTGAATGGCTGATTTGTCATTGCGCGCCATTTGGTTTTCGGTAAGTGACAAAGTTTAATTGTTTCTTTTATAGTGGAATTATCAGAGCGGTTGATTATATAACCTTCGTAGGAATTTTGTGAATTTAGAGCGGTACAGTTTTTATGAATCATTATTTGCACTATGTAGTTTTCGTGTACAATTGTTCGTGAAAGTGTAATATTCGAATACTCACCATAGAAAACTTTTATCGATAACATCATGTTATACACTTGTTTTATACATGTAACGAGACATTGGTATCATGATTATATTGATAAAATTTGAAGCCAATCTGAAAATGTATATAAGTAATTAGTAAAAAATTATAAATATCCTCGCTGAATATTGAGGCTAACTAATATATTGAATAATGGATTGTTTAAATACTTTTATGATCTCTGAAAAATATGTATTTGCACTAAATATCTTGTAGCTTCTATATACATTTTTACATCTGTTTCAGACTTTATCAATGTAACCCCATATATATAATGTAACAATGATGGGTGTGTCTTATCAAAGAATGAAAGAAAAGTGAAAAGCGTTTTATAGAATACACATAGTACATATACTCATAACAAGTTCTACAAGTTATACTCATAACAAGATCGTAATATCTTTTTCGATACAAGTTTTATACTTTAAGAAGTATGGTAGTTTTAGTATTAGCCAATCTCGTAGCATTGATAAATTATTCGATTAATAATTAATCTTACATTTAGTCTCGTATTTCTTTTACGTCGATAAATTTCGAAGAATTCATGGAAATCTGCATAGAAAGGAAATCCTATTTTCTATTGTCGACATATTATCCAATTAATAATCAATCTTGTGACATTTCTCTATATCGATGAGCATTGAAAGATGGTTAGTAATGTACATAAAAAACAGAAATTTCTTGCGAAACTGGACATTAACGTTAGGTTTTGAAATAAGTGTTTCCCTCTCGATCGTTTCTACCTTCCGAGGTTATTTTCAAATTCCCGTTCACTGATGACAACGCGCGCGCGCGTACACACAATCAAGTATGTTTGTGATTGCACCACGAAACCGTAAATGCGTTACGAACGTATACATCGATTCTGTGCTCGTGTGTGTTTTTTTACACGTATATACGTGTCAAGTAGCTTTCGATTCCACAGACCTAATGCAAGTGTGCGTGCATGTACGCACTATTCTTCACGTTGCCCCGTAAATCGAAAGTGCACGGTCTGCAGTTGGTCGCTAGTGCCGTCATCTTCCGCATGCGAGGACCCCTTATGCACCGACCTGTTGCGCAAATCTTTGCAATTCGAAATTAGTCGCAAAGATATTCGTCGCGAAATTATTGCATCGCTTGCAACACTCGTGTCTCTTGAGCGATCTATGAAAACCCGCCATTATGATACTATGCAAGTGGCCACTTCAAGTCGAACGCATAATTTTTGTTGAGACCGATCGAAATGTTAACTCATTAAGGATTAAACGATAAAATAAGGTAAAAGTTGTAATATTATAGGATATTAATTGAACATTACCATATCAATGGGAAATGTAATATTTTTGGAAAATATAAATGAAGTAATTTACGTACAGCGAAGGACAAGGGTATTCGTACAATTGGAACGTAAAAATAAAAATGGCTGATATAGAACAATCAGATGACTTGTAATTGTGATGTACAATTTCGTTTATTTTATCACCAAGCTTATTGTGATTATGCAAGGGAATTTAATAGTGTCGGTAACATGTGACCTGTAATTTGTAATATCTTACTAATGATACTAATTCAATTATGCAAGAGAACCTTGATAGTGTTTATGGGATTTGGAGAATTCAAATTTCATGTTTAATGGTATACTAACAATTAATATCAATGTGCATACGTACAGTTTATAGTAGAGCATATATTATTGAAATACCAGACTGATGTTAGAGTAATGATTATTTAAAAATTAATTTTTAAAGAGAAACTATGATGAAATGTAGACTCCGAGTTAACTTTCTGCATGCATAAAGGACGTCGAGATAATTTCAAAGGTTCTGAATCATCGAATGATTGTTCTCTATTCTTCGCGACAGAATAAGGTAATCCTTTCTCATACATAATTTCCAACGCGTAACATAGATTCTACTTATTCTATGTACTGTGAAATCATTACGATTTAAACGCTGACATCTGCTGAACTTATTGTGCAGAAGAATACGTTTGCATTTTAAGGATGTTTGTGTTGATATTACAGTGTCTAATCGAGATAGGAAATTATATTTTTATAAAATCACAATACTAGCATTCCAATCATTTTTTCATACAAGTATTTATTTATATAACTTACATTATTAATTTAATTTTGCTATTGCGCGCACTTTTTCGTGCCTTTTATGCCGCTTTAAAGTTAGTGTATCTGCGTAACTCATATCGTCGTATTTTTTCTCGGTTTCGTACTTTACGGAACAATAGATATTGCAATTTACGTTCAAAAATGATTCAACATTTTATCAATTTTTATTGAGATTGAAATTCAGACAATTTGAAACATCTTTTTGTCTAATATAAAGTTGTAAAAATTTTTTGATAAATATTCGTTTATTATGAACTATTATTTATTAGTGTTTTTGACAAGTAGAATTGTTGAAAGTGTTGATAAAATCATGGAAATCATCAAAATCATATTCAAAAAACAACTGAAATAGTTCGAACCATTTCTTCTACCATTTCCTTGTCAGTCACCATGATACAAGTTTCTTTATTAGCGCCAATTTTAACTCTATTTGTACCATGCGAAGTTATCATCTTCCTAGCAGATGCATGAAACTCTTCCGCTCCAGATGCCACTTTTATTTTTAAGATATTATTTTTAGTAATACCAGAACCTGGCATCACAATAATTTTATTTTGAGCCTCTTGAACGAGCTTCTGTATCAATTCTAACCCCTCCTCGGCAGTATCCTTCTGGCCAGAAGTCAGAACCCTTTTAAAACCGAGGTTTATTAAAATTTGCAAGGATTTTAAGGGGTCGTTGACTTCGTCGAAGGCTCGATGAAAGGTTACTGGTAATGGTCGAGCAGCAGAAAGAATGTCCTGACAAGATTTTACATCAATTTCGTTGTCTGGTGTCAATGCACCAAAAACGAATCCACTAGCACCGTGTTCTTTCAATAGTTCTAAATCCAGTAGCATAACATCCATTTCTTCCTTCGTGTATATAAAGTTTCCAGAACGTGTTCGAAGCATAGCGTAGAGTGGTAACGGTGAAATGGTTTTGAGTAATCGAATAAAGCCAGGAGTGGGTGTTAAACCACCCTCGGAAAGGGCAGAGCAAACTTCGAGTCTCGTTGCACCACCTCTGATCGCGTTTTTCGCCGATTCTATAGAATCGATACAGATTTCCATCTGAAACGTCGATTGTGTTGCAAAAGGATACGTAGAAAGAGCTGTTATTTAATCCATCAACGACCAAGCAATGAAATAATATGTGAAAATACAATATTACTGCACAATAACAAATGAAAAAATTTGAGAATTTAAAAATTGGATAATTAGAAAATCTGAGCACGTGAGAATTCGTAAATTTTAAATTTAGGAACTTTAAAAATTAAGAAGTTGGAAATATAATGTGAAGAAATAATTAATGGGTCTTGAATGGATTAAACAATCATGGTGCATGCTTACTGTTCCTGTTTGAAAGCGTTGCCAATTTCCCGCTAGAGGGTACGACGAAGAAAGTAACTAGCTGGTTGTACTTTGGTACTCTCTGTTCGAAATAAACAATGATAACAACCGAGAGAAAATTAGAATGCTCACGCTTATTGTTCTAGTAGTTCCACGGTATAGGTGCTGCCATTACCACGCAGCCAAGTGTTCAATGTGTTCTGCGCTAGCACATACAAGAACCTATTCAATTCCACCATAAACGAGGTATACTAGCTGTGTGGCTCCACGCTACAAGAGCCTATTTCGTTGTACGGTTCTACGGAACTGTTCATACTTTTCTATCCAAGATAGATAGGTATGAGAATAAGAAAATCACGCGATAATTAAGGAATGCTTGAGAAAGAGAAATTGTTTATTATAATCTTTTTAAACAAGAAACGAAAATCTCTCTTTTTAAACAAGAATGAAAGAGATGGAGGGACTGAGAGTCGAAACATTCGGCAACATGTAAAGATCTGCAACAAGCTGAGATTTTTTACTCAAAACTCAAACTTTCTTTTGTTTTATTTATTATGGAAATGCAATGCGGTAACTTTAGAATACAGCGAAGCGTCTTTACGTTAATCGTCATCGTTGGTAGTTGCTAGTTGTCATCTTTGAGGTCGGTTCCCACTGGTCGAACACTGGAGCTTGTGAACTGTTCCCGTACAAATTCTCCAGTGGAAATCCTCTGTTCGTTTCCAGTTCGCGAACAGCTCTCAGGACTGTTGACGATGCGAGATTACAGAGCACGTTCCCACTGGCGGATATTTCCATTGTGGACATTGTGGATTTACCTTTCCGGACACTATTACGATGTTGATTGGGGTTCGGAAATTTTAATTACCAGTGTTCGCGAGTAGCAGTCATAAAAGTTTACTTAAATGTGCAAGAGCATGTTCATAAACAGCGTTCTTGAATGTCACTCATCATCGAGCTGTACTCGTGATACGTAGTCGTAACAAAGCAAATACTTGCTTGTCATCTCTAGCTGATTCTCATTATTGCTAGTTTACTTGTTATTTCTAGTTGTTAGCACTCGTTTCAATAGCTTTTTCCCACAATAGTGGATGGTTCTTCGAGCTAACTGGTTTTATTAGTCTGCGGAACACTTGCAAATGCTAACCAACCCCAAACGATCACAACATTCGATCAACCCAGTGATGATGACGACCATGCAGTTACCGAGAGGTTCTTTTTCTGCAGATACATCACCTCGGATATATTATTCGTAGCCTATCAACTACTGAAATTACTATTAAAATGAAATTTATTTTTAATTATAACAACAACATTATCGCGAGGGAAATAAATTTAATATTAAACCTAAAAATTTATCCTGTATAGAGAATATATTAAAGTTATTGCGTCATTCCTCTGATTTATTATCGTTTGGTAGGAAATATTATCTTTTTCCCCTAGAAAAGATGTAATAAACAATTAATTTCTCTTTCTGAGGTAACTAAGTGTAATTATTGCGCCATTTTATTATTCTCATACTTGTCTATCTCGGATGGAAAAGTATGAACTTTTCCGTAGAATCATACAATGAAATAGGCTCTTGTAGCGTGGAATCACAGCGAGTATACTTTGTAGTAGAACTAAGTAGGTTCTTGTATATGCTACCGTGGAACACTTCCAACATCTGACCGCTGAGGGCAGTACCAGTCTGGGAACAACCAGAATCATAAACACGAGCACTCACATTTCTTCTCTGATATCACTGTGACAGTTGTCTTATTTTGAAAATAACATCGTATTATTTATCACGAAAGATTGATATTGGAATTACACAGATTCTCTGATCATCTGCTTTAAGAAGCGCGATACTTAATAAATTGAGATAAACGAAAGAAAAACACAAAGATGCGAATAGTTAATACACGTGGATGGTAACGATTGCTAGCAATGCGTCATTGATACGACTATTACGCCATCTGCAGAGATGCACCGCATTATTTGCAACGTTACGTAATCGTGAAAGATAATGAATAGAGTATTTCTCTTCCTGTCAGCTCGGGAGAATAGACGGAAATAAAAGGAGACATATGATAAGTAATTAATGTTAAGATGTAAAAGTACGTAAAAGAAAAAGGTGCCTCAGGGCATTTCCAGGAAATGAAATGAGATAAAAGGCGGGTAAGCTCGTGGGGCAATATATTTATTGGCCATTCGCCTGTCTCTCCAATGACCTCTGAAACGCCTTCTCCTAAAAGGATAGCTGCGTGCAATGCCGTGGAATATTTCTAAAAATTCTTATCCCAATATAGTATTGATTTATTTACTAGAACGTAGTTAAGAATGCGGCAAGGATTTCTGCGATTAATAAAATACATCAGTTTGAAACAAAAATACTGAACGTACTAATTTAAATGATTAATAATATATACTATTAAAATAATACTAATTGCTGTCTTAGATACGTAATATTAGGAATTATGTTCTACTTAAGGAGGTACTTTTTGATTTTTCACGTGGAATATTAATACCAGATTGCTTGGGTTCTGGAGGATTCGTTCTTCATGCTTCTTCAGTAGTTGCAATATATCAATTTGTTATACGAAATACTTACCTTCGCTATATATATGAAAGGAGCACAATGTATGAAAAACCGTTTCAAAAATCTTCAAAAGGTGAATGAATGATCGCGATATTTTATAAAGCGCAATGAAATTCTGTATTATACAACATATATAATAAAATAATACCAAGAGTTATACAAGTAAAAAATAATAATAATATTAATAATAATAATAATAATTTTAATAAATGTAACAAATATTTAAGCGGAATTTAAAATAGGGCATTGGCAAATAGGGGTGTCTACAAGTCTAAAAAATAAAATACTTAAAAATGACAGCAAGGAAATAGGGAGGACGATAGACGAAATGAAATCTTCGTCGCGAGTCTTGTCGATTAATAACGTGATTAGGGCGCGATTAGTTACATAATTCGAAAGGAATCTAAAAACGATTCGCGGTCAGTTTGATCGACTCGCAAGTTGATGCGGCAGTTGTCTTTGGAAAATTCAAGTATCCACGGATCTTTCTCTGCTGCTGCCCGACCAATTCGGATCTTGCTTCGCTCGCATAAACAGCAGTTTCATAGCCGCCGAGGGCTTTTATTTCATCGTTTTCTCCCTTCTTCTTTTAATTACAACATGCGAGAATCCGCGAGAAATCAAAGATCGCCGTTCGAAACGGCGATCGGCGATGGACTCGTCGGATTGCTCGAGCTGGTCGTCCATTTATTCTTGTGTGGATCCACGCCGAAACCTTCGTCGTAGTTTCCTCGTGTGATGAACAGCTGCTTGAAATGCGGGATGCAGTAGAGTTTACCATTATTTAAGGTGAACGTGTCCATCCTGTATGGAAAAAACGATCGTTTATTTTCCTTGTTCCAGCTATACAGGATGTTAAAAAAAAATGGGCGATATTTATAAGATACGATTCTAGAAATCATATCTTGCAAATATAGCCTCTTGTTTTTTTAACGTCTTACAGATGATATAATGGCATTTGTAATATATCGGTTGGTGCTAAAGGAAGAGAGAACAGAGACGGTGGAGGGGGGGTTAGGTTGGTTACAGGGAGAAAAGGGAATAAGTTTCAGCGAAGATTGCAAACGTTACCTTAGCACACAATTGCACTGCTGACACCGGAAGCACTGTTTGTGAAATATTTTGTTATTTGTCTCCACTTTTTCTAGGGGGTACACTTTCTTTTCGCAGCTCTCGCACACGTCCGTACAGCTCGCTTGAATCTCCTGCGTCGATTTTAGATTGGAAGAAAGCAAAATGAGTGGTGAACAAAAAAGTGCTGGATGAGAAGTGTGTGATGGATTAATGAGGAAAAGAGATGAACATGTGCATGTGATCGTTATTACGTTTTCGAAAGAGATCTTCGATAAGAAGAATTCCAAAGGCCGACTGTCGTTGATAGATGAAACTGAAAGAACTTAGGTATACATTGCACTGCGCCTTTTATATAGAATATCTGTGAAAGTGTTCCGATTTCTATCACGCAATTCACACCATACGTATTTTCATTTCAGGATGTGCCTTTTTTATTTATCATTTGTAATATGGTCGTAATAAATTGTTACACGTGAAAGGTAAAGAACAAGAATATGATACCTCGCTAAAAATTATACAATCCAAAGACGCAACGAAAGTCTATACGTGAAAATCATCGCATAGTAGGCCGTGAAAGAATTAAGCGATCGATCGATTAACTAATTGCTTACATAAATATTTCTCTCGCCGATTAACAACAAACAATTGCGTGTTTTCGTTCTCGACAACCCTTAAAATTATTGCACTTAAATTTCATCGTCGATTAAGAGAATCCCTCGATCGATATATCATCAACGAAGGATAGGAGATACCAAGTCGCGTAGAGAATATATATACCTTTTCGATCTTGTTCTCTCTATTATAATACTTAAGTTTGTTTTTGATTTAAAAAAAGTTCGCTAATGCCTCTAAAACATTGCACCTCCTTCGACATCCTCTGATTAACGTAGGAAGAAAAAGGAATAGGTTTCGAGAGAACCCCGAAATTGTACTTCGATTCGGTTTTCACTGTTAATTCACCGTTTTCTCTCTCGCATTCTCTCTCGCGCTTTCATTCTCTCTCGTTGCAATTCCTGTGGCGTACGCGCGAACCAAGAATTAGAAAATTAAGCCCTGTTTCCACCGTCATTTCTCGCCAGTCTACCGAGATCGATAACCTGTTAACCGAGGAAGACGAATTAATTCGTCGTTTGAATCAACAATCTTTCCTTACGTTTTTACTTGTTGCTTCGTTTTTGTTCAAAATAAAATGTATAATATTTACATTCGTGCAAAGATTAAAGCCGATCCTATTGCAATTGATTCGTATTTGTCAACGTTTAATTATACGAGTTACTGGTCAAAGAATGGCCTGGTTAACAGACTAACTTAAACGCAATTTCATCCAGAAAATACCATTAGAATATCGACGAATGAAACGCCATGTGCCAACGTCTCGTTCCCAACGCGATCGAAATCAATTTCAGGGGCTGTTCCCTTTCTCCTTCTGAATGGGGTGCGCTCGTCTAAATAGATCATAGGGGATTCGATACACGTCGTTCTTCTATGATAAACATATATATATTTATATGTATACGTATATGAATGCGTACTGTGCGCCCGCGTTGGCAATGGTGAAGGAATTAATATTTGCCCTCTCTTTCCTTCTTTCTTTCTTTCTTTTTTCTTTCTTCTCTTTCTTTTTTACCTTCGTCGCGTAATGCCATCGTAGAAGACCCTAACCCTAACGGCTACGACGAGGCTCCCTAGTATCGTTCATCGACCGAACATTATAAAAATTATATAAAAAGCCTATTCGATAACGTTCGTGTGAGACTCGAGGTCGGTTTATTTCTTACGTAAGGAACGAAGCTCTGACGTTCGATTTTTCAGATTCTCTCGTTGCACTGGAAAATCTGGAAAATTCTTCACCAATTTTGGAACCTTCGCAATAGTACGTGAACCCTTTGAATGCAAGCGTTCGATTATTAGAGTCCCTTTGCACAACACTTTTTTATTTAACCAATAGCATCGATGGATAGGGAAGAGAGTCGTAGATCGTGGATTTGTTTTTTACGATTTGACTATTTTCTGATAATCGGATGATTTCTAGCTAGCGAAATTCACCTGTAATATTTCATTTAGTTTATTACGAAACGTAATACTACTATATTATGCGTATGAAATGTTTCTTCGATGATCGAATTTGGTGGAATAACGTCATCGATTTAAGAAAATTTATTCATATTGGAAATTTATTACTTGTAGCTCGACAAATTGTAAGAATAACGTTGGTTCGATTATGCAAAAGGACTCGCAGGCAGCTAATCGTATTATACTAAACTTTTGTGGCATAAATACGTACAAATGTATATATAATGTAAATTTATCTTTGTAAAAACGATATTACGATTTTTTGGGACGTATCAGTGAGAAGATCCGTCGAGTTCCAGGCAACGATGAGTCGGTGATTAGTTTTTTCGTTCTCTGATCATTTCTATCGGTAGATAGCGATGACAATCTACCGCGCGACATGCTGTAAAAAGACTCGAAACTCTGTAAAGCAGTCGAAAAGCTCGTAGATTCTAAATAAGTCTAGCTCGGATCTTGATTCTTCGGTGCAATCTTAATCTCTCGATTCGATGCTTCGAATTTGTATTTGCAGGTTTCCTGTTGCGAATTGGCTGCTTACCGCGTTTCATTCAAAACTTAGATCGCACTGATACAGTACACGCGATGAAACGGCACAGATATCT